TAAATTAGAAAGCAATGTAGTGTAATTGCAACTTACATATATGGCATACAAAAAAACTATATATCATATCTGTTAATTGACATATATTTTCAAAAATATTAATATAGAAACTCAAGTAATGTGTCTGGAAATATTTCAATCAGTTCAATGTAACTGTATTTTATATAAATCTATTTTATTTATACATTTTAAATGGTATTTTAATGCTGTATATCATACTTTTTTGATGAATAAATATGTTTCATGAAGATTTTCTTTTCAGTATATAATTATTCAGATGGCTTTCAGTAACAGTACCTCTATCACAATCAAGTGTAAATGTTTCTATTCATACCTGCCAAGTACCTGGTCTGGCTGGAAATCTTACTGGAGTCAAACTTAGTTCACAACTGATGAAAGAAGAGGAATGAAAAGAAAATAACCCCAAACAATAAAACACAAAACTAGTCCTATCCTCTTGATTTTTCCCCATTAAACCTTTTAGACTGCCAAGAAAATTCTGTTTTTCTACTCTGATGACATTGCAGTAACAATAAAGTAAACACACCATAGATTAAATTCACCTTGGAGTGCATTCTTTGCACTTACTTGTATTTGCAAGCACCAGGGGATTTTATTGCCAACAAAAGAAAATTTTACTTTTCATGACACTAAAGCAAATCTGCTAAAGCTTGAAAGGAATATTACTTGATGAATCTGCCAATTTCATAGTTCAGTTATTTGTCCTTTTTCAATTGTAGTAGATGAAATTTGTGTCCATGAAGTTCTGTGCAATTCTATTTCACTCTCCTTCCAAACTCCTTATTCCTTTAAGTCTCAAAGTACTTTTTTGCCTATTCCCAATGGAACATGAAAAGTTCCAAATACCTTTGAAAATTCAATGTTGCCAAACTAAACTTGATTATCTTGATTCTTTCTTGATATTTCAAAGACAGGTACGCTCCTAACACACAATAAATAAAAATGACAAAATACATTTGGGTTGTTTTTGTTAAAAAAAACATTCTTTTTACCCAAATAAAAGGGTCTTACATTGTTTCAGAAGTCAGAACACTTATAAAAATGTAATCTTTTCTGAACAAGAATATTGGTGCTGTGGCAGTCTGTTATACAGAGATCTAACAGGATTCATTATCCCCAGGTCCAGTCTAATATTTTTGTACATTAATGTACAGCTTCAGAGGCATGATAAAATCATGCTTATTAAACTTTTCTATATAAAACCTATGATTTATACACAGATTTATTTCCACCTTGAAATTATATTGTCACAGAGAAAAAAAGTTCTCTTCTTCTTCAACAACCAGATAGTGAACTAGAGAGCAGATGAGTTCAGCTCAGAATCAACCCTTGCAGCTCACTTTTATTAGCTGCACTAAAGACTGAAAGTGATGCTGTCAGCTGAGGAGGTTAATTGCACTGATAACAACTGTCTTCTGAGGCTTCCTAACATAGATATATTTTCAAGTGCTTCTTGAAGACTTACAGGGAGATTGCTAAAACTTGGCAACCAATATATAACCTCCTTTACTGCATAATTTGATCCCTATCTTGCTTGGATTCTTCTTTATTCGACCCACTAAACTATTTCACTGCAACATTAGACATATTTAAGTATCACAAGCTCTTTGAATCCCACTGAAAAACAAAAGGAGAACTTTTTTTGAAGCATCACAGATGGCCCAAAAGGCAAAGGTTTGTAAATAACAACCCTTCTAAAAGCTGATGCAGTAGCTGTGTAGTTTCACCCTCGCAGAAACTAGTAATCATCTCCTTTGTGAATTGCTGTTCATTTCTAATACAGGGCTGATATATATATATGTGAAAAAACTTTGTTTTTCCAAACAAAAGCTTTATAATGCAAGTATGAAGCTAAGTGCCATTAACATGAAGTGGGTGTGAAAACAGAAAAATTCCAGTTTTAGTGAAATGGTTGTGTAGAGAAATGTATCGCATGACTTAATGACTTTACCAAGAAGTTGTACAAATTTTAGACCTGCAACTGGAGTGGAATAGTACCATTTTTAAGGAATACTCCAGTTTAAGTTCAAAATAAACCCCAAACATCTGCTGCTTTTATCACATAGCCAGAGAGTTATAACAGGTCACAAACTGTAGGGAAAGGATGCCATTCAGAGGGACCATGGCAAACCTCATGAAGTTCATCAAAGCAAAGTGCAAGGTCCTACACCTGGTTGTGGTAATCCCAGACACACCTACAGGTTGGGCAGAGAAGTGATTGAGAGCAGCCCTGCAAAGATGGACTTTGATGATGGTTGGTGGAAAATTCAGCATGAGCTGGCAGCATGAGCTCACAGCCCAGAAAGCCAAGGGAATCCTGGGCTACATCCAAAGGAGCGTGGCCAAGCAGCTTGAAGGAGGTGATTCTTCCCTTCTACTCTGCTCTTCTGAGACCTCACCTGGAGAGTTGCATTCTATTCTGGTGTCCCCAGAAGAAGGACATAGAACTGCTGGAACAACTCCATAGGGAGGCCAAAACGCTGATTTGAGGACCGGAGCACCTCTCTTACAAGGGCTAAGAAAACTGAGGCTGTTCAACCTAGAGAAGAAAAAGTTGTGTGGAGACCTCACAGCAACTTTCCAGTGTCTGAAAGGGTCTTACAGAGAGGACAGAGAGGGACTCTTCTACAGGAACTGTAGCAATAGGACAAGGAGTAATGGGTATAAACTGAAAGAAGGCAGGTTTAGGTTAGATATTAGGAAAAAATTCTTTACTGTGAAGGTGATGAGAAACTGGAACTAGTTACCCAGGGAGGTTGTGGATGCCCCAGACCTGGCAGTGTTCAAAGCCAGGTTGGATAAGGCCTTCAGCCACCTGGTCTAGAGGAATGTGTCCCTGCTCCTGTCAGGTGATGTTGGGTCTAAATGATCTTTAAGATCCCTTCTAACCCTTAGCATTCTGTGGTCTAGACTAGATAAAGTGTTTTTCAAAGGATATGGAAATACAGACAGTAGATGAAAATTCTTCTGATGGGATTTATTCTTGAGGGATAATGAGAGATTTATGCTTGAAAGTTATTCTGACTTTCTTTTCTTTTGTAATGATTATAATATTTTTTAAAAGGCAAGTAAGCCCATGCTTTCTTCCTTTCGAGTGTTACCTCAGTTAGAGTGATCTCTTTAGTACATCTGACTTTTCATTGTGCTCATTTTACACTTTTTCTTAGCTCTGCAGGTCTGTAATTAAGACAAGGCAAAAAGCAGTAAATGATACTGGGTTATTTTAATAAACTATGGATTTTTCACCAGTGCTGCTCAAATCAGACCCATTCACTGATTTGCTGTAGGTGTATGGGAAGGAAACCCTCTGAATTTATCAAAATCTGTCTAATTCACGACTTTAGTCCTTGTAAAGAGGTTCACTGCAGTGACAACCTTTATTCTTTTTATGCAGCAAGTGTACACAGACAAATCATGCTCATCAGAAGATGAGCCTAACACCTTCAAACATATTCTTATGACTGAGATGAGAAGAATTCTTAATTGTCTGCAAGTAGATAAAATCATTGTTTTTGTCATGAAATATCCATACATCTACAATAAACTAATTTTATGGAGGAACGTTTCTGCTTCCCTGCCTTTTTAACCAAAAAGTTGTTTACTATTCCATTAACTGCAGGTCAGAGAACATTATGCAATCATTAAGAAACTACACCTCAGACATGTTTCTAATGGGCCTGTATTTATAGACAATAAGTTGGGCCAGTGTTTTGTCACAGTAAATTATACATGAAACAGTCTAGCCATGGGAGAAAAAAAGGCAAGTGTCACAAATTGCTAGTAAAACTGCCAGAGCTCACAGCCTGCATTTTAATCAAGGCATGCTTAATTTCATTATAAAAATCAAGTAAAAATGTGCAACTGAATATTTAAAAAAAAAAAGATTTCCACTGCTGCTATAAATGTCTTTTGGAACACAGATGGGATATAAGAACAACTTTTTATTTCACCTTTGCCAGAGAAGACCATGTTTTAAGCTAACAGTACTCAGTAACCTGCAGTCCAACTTGAATAAAGCAGTCCCTGAGAGCTAGCAAATTAGTATTGTGTTTCAGATAAGGTTTGTCAACAAAAATAAATTAAGTGTAGAATGATGTTCCACTTCTATGTAAGTATGCACAAGATGTCTCTGCTATTCAAGATGTTTTCAAATGTGCACAAAAGCACATACTTAAAAAAAATTATTTCAATATTTTTCAAGAATATAATATTTCAATAAAGTTTTTTTAGAATAGATGCTAATATGCACATTTGTTAGAAACCATCAGAATCCACTGAAAATCACAGCCTTTCTCTGACCTGTATAAACATTGAATTTAGCTCTTATATTTGACTGTGGCCTTACAGTCAGGTCCACCAACCTCCCTTCCTTCAGCATATGGAATAACGAAGTATACTGGTGAAGAAGAAACAAAAATGACAGATATTACCAACACACCACTACAGTCTTCTTGCCTGGAATAACTCATCCTGCTTTTTGATGCTTGTGGAAGTTGGTTTATGGTTTGTATTGCTTTCTTTAAAATGGCATAGCTATAAAATGTTACTACTAGTGGTGAAATTAAGTCCTCCTATCCTCCAGAGGCAGTATGAGTAATCTGTAACTAGATCTCACCATTAAGGCTGAAGAGTTGTCACTCCATGACTTTGGAAGTATTACAAGGCTATAACCTGCCAAGAATAAACCACTAAGGAGTTGAGAGTAATACACAAAGATTGAAAGATGCATTTCTTGCACTTTGTTAACACAGTGCATAAAGAATTGTCATTTAGTCCACATGCCAGTTGTAAGGGGCAATTACACACAGTTCTTGCTCCTAGTTCCTCTAGGAGTTGTCAAACAAGAGTCTCTTCTCCACTGCAAGATAAGGAAAGCCTTGCCATCTGTCACCCTGCACTATCTTCTTTTCATTCCACTTCAGTGTGTTTTTTCCTCTGCTGCTGATTTACACTGATTTTTTTTTTTTTTTTTCCTGCTGGTACTGCTTTTTACCTCATTTTCAAAAGAGGTAGAGCACTCTCAGCCAAGGTATATCAGTGATCCCAGTGGGTACCTTCCAACTTAGCAGATTATGTGGTTCTGTGATATGACAAACAATCCTTTCTACCCTTACTTTTTATCCTAAGAATTACATTGACCTTGGAACTTCAGAAAATGTGTGGGAAATTCTCGCAGACTTAAAACCTAAACTCGAGAAGAATTTCCATCATGTTTCAGAGAAATGTTCAGGTTCAAGTGATTTAGACTTTGCTCTAATAATACTTTTAAGGTTCTTGTATGTTTGAATTAATATACTAGCTGACCATACAGAAATACTAGTCTGTAAGAATGACATTTTGCTGGAAAAATGTGTTCCCTCAAAGATTCCTCAAATGATTTAAATTGAAAACCTCGATTGACCTCAGAGTTCCTTAAGAAAAATAACATTTATTACAAGATTTGTAATGAACTATTTAATTCCAGAACTTTAAGTAAAGACTTTTCTTTTCCCCCTCAGACCACAAAATTAGTTCTCCAATATCAGAGGCATCAGAGTTGGTTAGGCAAGCATATAAGAGGGAGAAAAAAGAAATGGAAAAAAAAGTTTCTACTCAACATCTGCTCAGAGTAGAACTGCAGGGCAAGCTCTTTGTTGTAGGTACTCCAAGTTTCTTGGAAAACAAGGGAGGAAGTTGACAGCTTTAATTTTTCATACCTTGGCCTCAATTCTCATCATACTGTAAGACAAGGGAAGCCTTACCCCTCTTTTCCCTACGCAGTCAATTGAAAAGTTCCTGAAAAGGGGCATAAATGAGTGTGCAAATCCCTGTACTGCTGAAAGAAACCACTGGCCAGTCATCCCAGGAAGGGATAAGAGGGCTTTTGGAAAGACCTCCTCCTCCAGTTTCTTCACTGTGGGCAAGTAAGGACCTTAAAAATTTCAGTGTCTTGCTGCAGCTAATTAAGTACACCAGTATATTTTCCAAAATGGTGTTTACAATTATGTTATGCCTACATTTTCAGTGAAAACCTTGCTTGCCTCCTGCTGTCCATGGTGACTCAGATACCTCAGGGTTATCTTCTAAAATCTCCTTAGAGGCATTTTACTGTTGAAGTCAAAGAAAATATAGTTCACTGAGAATTCAGAAGAGAGTGAGACAACATTTGGTCTTGAAATATGAGTATTTTTGATACCAGAGGAAGTTATTTTAGCTTGGCTTAATTTTGTTTTTTTAAATATATTTCCACTGTGGATTTTCTGTTCTTGTGTACACATATATGTGTTTGTACATGCAAAGACACTTGTTTTTCCTATCTGGTTTGGTTTAATTGTAAGATGTGGGCAAATAAAGATGGCTTAAATTATCATTCAAGGTTTTTTAACAATTTTAAATTCTGATACTGCATAGAGTCATCCATATAAAGCCCCACAAGTTATTCACATGATGCACATAACAATCTTTTGGTTGATTCTATTTATAACAAGAGTTGTGAAGAACAGAAAATACAAATGAAACATTACAATAGAGATCAGAACTTTTTTCAAGGGGATTGCCATATATTTGTACCCATCAACTATACACAGAAATTAGAATGAATTATGTTTATAGCTGCCTTTGCAGGTCACAATGTGAATATTTAAATGAGTTATTATTGTCACTCTCCTGATTTAAACTGACAATTAGTTTCCTAACAAACCATTAAACATTTATCAACCAACAGAAATACAACAGTTATTATGCACAGCAGTTCATCTTCTACTGGATAGGTTGGAACACCATTTTTGAGCTTATTATTTTTCTGTACTTGAAGAGTAAAATAAATAAAATCATGTAGCAAAACCTACAAGGGGTTATTACAATGGATTCTGTTACTGGGAAATTATTATAAGAATTATTATAGGAAAATTTCGATCTCATTCATGCACCCATTCAGTCAAACTGACCCTCTGTATGTCAATTTTTTTATCATCAGATGCTAAAGTTGTGCTCTGTACTGACACAGTTGAAATAAACAGCCTAGAAGTCCCAACTGTACAGGTAGATAATTGTTCATCAGTGTCATGAATAAACTACTTCATACAGGGTGACTGACTTCAAAATACAGAATCCCCATCTGGTGAGACCTAATGAGCAATGGAAAGGTTTGAAAGTAATGAAGCAAGCCCCTTTTTGGCAGATGTTACTTGACAGCCGCATCTTGGGATCCTAGCAACACTCCTGCTGGCTCATATTAATATAATCTTGAAGATATAATGATGAAACTTGTGGAAAAGAGAGGATCCTTTTCTCTTCAATGGGCTGCATTTTATGTCTCTCCTCTTCTATCTAATCCACTTAGTAAATTTAGATTTCAATAGACTGTTTGAAGTTCATTGAACTGTGTTTTTTCAAATGCTTTAGCTCATGCTTTAGCTCACATGCTGCAGGCTGAATCCCTGCAGAAAATAAAATTGACCTAACAGGCACATCAAGGTGTTTGTTTTTATTTTTTTCCCAAAGGCAAGAGAGAAGAAACATGATTCTGGGTCACTGCTCTTCACATGCATCTTGTGACATACACATGGCACACAGGGTCCCCAGTGAGCTCGACAAAGCTCTATTCTCTCGACATCCTGTTCAGCAGATCTCCACTCTTCCAGGAGGAAAAGACTCCTGATACTGCTACTTGAATTGCACACATAGAACAAACACCTACAGAAAAAAGTCAACATTAATAGTTTTGCTTGTCCTGTAATGAGTATAAGATTAATACAAAATTCCTAGCTTGATCTAAACTCTTGGAGCTAAAGTGGAATTTAAAAAAGAGGCAGTCTAAGCTGTAAGACTGCTAGAAGAGTTGTTATCCTTGGTAGTAATGAAAAAAGCAATAGGAAGGAAACACTGCTGGAGGCCAAGGACATTCAGAAGCTGTAGAATTTCCTGTTTAAAAAAGAAGAACTTTATATTTACTCAAAGGAACTGTGGTGTTAACTCATTCTATACCTGTTGTAAGGCTTTTTGGTGTAATACCCAAAGCTAATTCAAGAACTCTTGATGAGAGGAGCCTCTCAAAAGCCAAACCTTTTCCTTATAATGCAATTTGCCAGCTATCTTTATATATTATAGCTAAAAGATTTTTTTTTAGAAGAGGCATTAATTTTTACTTTAGGAACCTTACATAATTTCTCCTCCTACTGATCTTTGAGCAGCTCTTTTCTATTCTTTCTGCATATAAGTTGGTCTTCAAGGACCTGTTTTTTTCTATCTATTTACATGGTATCCTATGGAATTGCAGTTATCTGCTTCTCTAAGAAATTTGAAAATTGCTTTACATGTATTCTAAAGGAGATTAGTCATTATTTTTATTTTTTATAAAGACCAGTTTTGTGTTTCACTGCAATGCAAGATGCACAGAATTAACAAAATAAATATTAGCTTTGTAAGCTTTAAAAGTGGGGACATTGCTGGATGTGGATGTGGCACCTGGGGATATGGTTTAGTGGTGAACACAATGGTGCTTTGTTCATGGTTGGACTCAATAACCTTAAAAATCTTTTTCAAGCTGAATGTTTTTATGATTCTATGAGATACCAGTGAAGAGAATTGTGAAACCAGTCTCTCAACAAGCTGACCTTCAAAAATACATAATTTACATGCAATTATGTTAATTAAAACCAAGGCATTAAAATGTCAGAGGAGGTTTAGGTTAGATATTAAGAAGAGGTTCTTCACCCAGATGGTGGTTGGGCACTGAAACAGGTTTCCTTGGGAAGTGGTCCTATATTAATATCATCAAGTTCATGGAAGTTGTCTTGAACAGTTGAATATATTTTCGTCTTTATAAAAATCAAACAGTCAAAAAATACACCTGGAGTGTTCAGATAGAAATGATTATGCTAAGGCTAAGTTATGGTAAGTTATCATCCTCTCCATGGGAAAATTCCCTGGGTTTTCTTTAGATACACAGTCATCTGGACATATCAGAATGTTTTTGATGATTTATTGATTAATGGCCAACAGGGAACAGAAAGAGGGTCAGTGTATGTTTGTACTTTCCCAACCTAGAACATGGCCAGGAACACCAACTTCAGACAGCCATAGAAAGATCACTCAAGAGCCCTGGAAGAGGGCAACACAAACTAAAAGAATGAGCAAAGCATCTCCTGAAAGCTAATGGTCTAGTTTCCCACAAGGAAAATTCATTTACTTCTTACTGGTGTGCAGGTGGCCACATCTCACACTGTACCACTAGCAGCTTTAGGTCTACATCCTTCTCAGCTTCTCTGAGCACAACTACCGCCAGTTGCTGCCTTTGCTCAGACAAGAGGAGAAATTTCTAATTAGTCTTACAACCCTTTTCATGAAAATCTGCAAATGGTGCCAAAAGTCCCAAGCCAGGTAGTCCCATACAACAAAGAAAAAATCCTTCATAAGAGAAATGCTTTCTCATAGCCATCTAGAGATAGAACAAAGAGAATTGAGAACTAGTCTGGATTTTATACCTGCTGATATCTCCTTTAGAACAAAGGGAGAATGAAAAACGTGTCTCTAATGTATGACCTCACTTTTTCTGTCCCGAATTATCCGCAAGATGAAATGATGGCTCTGTTGAAAAGATCTGATGATTTATTGCATTTCTTTTCTGATACCATCCTTTACTTAGACAACTATTTGCCTCCTAATCTATCAAGGGAATTCCAATGAGAACATTCAGTTCCTTTATTTTATTCCAACACCTTCATAACAATACACATGAATCATTGCACACATTACATTGCAGCCCTGCAACTTCGAGTCCATTTTTTTCACTTTGTTTTCAACGTGACTCTACAAGGAAGTATTCTCTAAGTGCTGTCTCACAAATTAATAGCTACCAGAGACCTGCTTTGTTTCTATGCCTTTTTCTCTTCAGAATTCAGCTTTCTGCTTTTGAAATGTTTTATGAGAAGGATCGTTTAACATTAAAATTCAACATATCCAAGTTAATTCTGACTCAGGGTGTATTAAATTCCGTGCACATTTCTACTGATGTGAATGTGTTTTAGGCCCACTCATTACTCTTTGAGGCAATTACGAGTTTTACAAGACGGTATAATCACGAATTCAAAAAACTTTACAGGTTTTGTAGTCCATTAAAACTTTCCTGCTGATCCCCATCTGTTCTAAAGATAATGAATACACCTTTCTTTCAAGCACTCTGCTTTATCAGCATAATATCTTTTTGCCTAAGCAGATTTTATCTTGGATTTCTGGAGAGACATGGTTTGGTTTGGAGTTTTTTGGTTAAGGAAAGGGAAGAAAAATAGCCCCTGCACAAAACCTTATCTGTTGCTTGCTTTATCTTTCCCAAGCCAAGAATCTACTCAATAAAAAATTAAAAAAACCCCCAAACTTAGGTTGTGTTGGCACCGTCAGTGTCAGAACTAATGTGGTGACAGCTTAAATGACCTATGGCTGACAGTTTCTTATAAATCTACTTCATTGCCACAGCCCTCATTGCAAACCAAAGCAGGCTCAGTTGCTCCAGTCCTGCTGGATTCACCAGATCAGGAGGAGCATCATGTCAGTGAGATCTTGCCATCCTCAAACTTCTGCAATCATCAAGCCCTGCTGGGCTGGCTGCCTGCAGATCACTTCAGAGCCTCATTGAATTTCTCTTCATGCAACTGCTGGGCCAGGCAGTACCAGAGCACAATCCAGCTCAGGTCAGGCACAGCAGATGCTGCACTAGACCAGGCTGGATAAGCCCATCCAGACCCCCCACTGGCTTCATGTAGGATCACTTGGATGTGGCTGCATCACTCTGCCCAGCACCTGTGAAACAGAATATTGCCTAAAGTTGGTGAGAAGCCTACAGCTGCAGCAGGACAGGCATCAGTTGTGCTCCAGTGCTGGCATTGTTTTGTAGTGCTGTCCTGTAGAGAACATTTGTCTCATGGGATTGCTCTTCTGACAGCAGGAAACAGGGCATGAATAACACAGCACTTCTGCAGCAGATGTAAGGTTCTGCACTCTCCATGACCTCCATCCTCAGTTATCATGTAATTTAAGATGTTCTCGGGGAGATGATCTGAAGAAGATGACACACCAACTATTACAGATCAAAGAAAAGAATATATTCCTTAGGGAAGTGATTCCAGAAAAATAGACTGCTTTGTTAGCTGTTCTTTTCACTTTATGCCAGCCATGCATAAACAGACCTAGTCAGTTCTCTTCCCACAATTAGTAAAAGGTACTTGTATACCAAAAAGCATGTTACAAACCTGAATTTCAAAGTTCTCAATAAAAGGCACATAGCCTGTCTCATTGCTGCCTAAATTAAGATGAAATATATTGTTCAGCACTGAGAAAAGAAAAAAAAATACGAGTGGCAGAGAGAGAACTTTTTCAGATTCAGAATGAAGTGCTCCATCCACTGAACCATGCCACATGCATCGGCTTGCTTTATTTCTGATACACTTGACCACTCAGCTGTTTCTGGTTTGTCATTTCCTTAGGAGACAAACAGAAATGGAGGGAAGAAAACAGCTGAGGAATAAAGCAGGCAGTAGCAATATAAAACTCAGGGTGAGCTGTGCTCTGAGAAGAAAGGTTAAGTAAGGAAAGAAAACAAATACTGGATGGATGTGAGGGAAATATTTTTGCTGTAACAGCTCTAGCTATACACAGAATACATTAGCCTGGCCAAAGCTCAGGGCTTATGCCATTAGCTTGCTTTCAGAACCCAAAATAACAATGTATTTTGGAGACACTAAGGAAAAACGCATCACCTAACAGCCCTCTGTTAATTGTGAACAAAGGCCATCCACCTGTGCTGTCCTGATAAAAAGCACTGCCGTTTCCTACCGTCTCAACACTTGTGTGTCAATGCAAAAAAGCTGACAAGCAAGTGTTTCTGTGCTCCTGGAAGCATTCAGTCACGCATACATAAGTGTACCTTTAGAGAAGAGTCTTCTGCTTGCTCTGCTTGAATAGAGGAATATGGGAATTATCCGTGAAGATAACAGGAATACAAGATCAGCTCTAAATTTCCCAAGTATTCTCACCATGGTGACTGTGTAAATTTATTACAAGTTTCAGTAGTATCTTCATCCTTCAAGTAGCACTTAATTTAATATCCTGATTCATTACCTGAAACAAGAAGGAGAAGGCATATTTTAAAGAAATACAACTCACAGCTGGTGGTAAAAAATGACAGTCTCAGTAGATTTTTCATGTCCAGGTCTCATAATTTAATTTTTAAAAAAGACTAAGGAGACTTGATATCCAAATAAATCAAGAGGTATACTGAAGAGACCATGAACATTTTGGTGGTCAATGAACAACCCAAACAATTCAACCAATCAACCAACCAACCAACCAATGAAAGAAAAGTAACCATAGGAGCAGAGAAAATAAATTTCTATACCCCATAAATTTACTCCAGCTTTTCATTCATATTAAAAAAATATTGACCAAGTTAAATTGAAAAGCACTGTTCTATCACTCTAATGAATCTGTTACTTTGAGTTATCTTCAGAAGTTTGGTTTCCACAAAAATCTCCAAAACTACAGCAAAAAAAAGGCCCCAAACCTTGATATCTACTTTTGATCCAGTGAAAAACATACACACAAGCTTAATTTTCTATTAAGAATTCTTTTCCTAGATCAACAGATCCTAAAGTAAGAAACAAAACCCAAAAGTGATAATTAGAAGTTGAAAGATATATCAGCAAAGAAGAGTAAAATAATACCATTAGAAGAATTAACATAATTTTTTAAATGGAGCTTGTATTGTAGGCTCATTTTCAAACTACTTTGCATTGTGATTATTTTCAAGTAAAGATAAAAAGAAAGAAGCTTGACCAGGGCTTTGGCAAGATATGATTCTAAGTTTTGACTTAATAGGAAGTATTTTTGCAGCTGTCATACCTGCAATGGACCAGGCATGCAGCAGATACAGTTGCACTCACCATTTAAATAAGCAAAATACAAGTTAGAAATCTTATCTTGGAGTTTTCTTGCTCAAGGCTTATAGCAGCTACAACATCATTTATTTGTCCCAGAAATACGAAGGTGCCTGAGATGATAATGGTGATGGTGATTTTCTTATATTCCCTATTACTTGACCACATTCATAAACATGCAAATTACTATTTTTTTAGTGGCACCTAAAATACTTTCTTGATTATAAATTAAAAACTGAGAACATAATTTAGATATACCCTTACATAGATATATGGTAATCTCAAAAATTGGAAAACCTGTAAAGTCATCTGAAATGTGTTCATCAACAGTCAGATAATTTGAATCTAATTTAAATCATACAAGTTAATCTAATTTTTTGGTGCCTAAGGTTAGCAAGTCCATTAGTAAGACAGAGTTGGGAATCAGAACTGATTCAGGTAGTGTAATTTTTAAATGGGTCACAAGAAATCATTAACTACTTTTACCCTTCTGTAGCAGATAAGCCATGAACTGACACACTTGAATCAGAGAAAAAAAAAAAATAAACAAAATAATGTTCTAAAATGGAAATAGATTATCTCAACTGACTCTTCCAGGAATACTTCCCTGCTTTTGGAGAAATATTTTGTTATGTCTTTAATTCCTAGGAAAGTGTTTTTCTCTAAACTGGTATATACAATATATGTTTATTATGTGTACAATATATATATACAATATATATGCTATATGCTATATATACATATACATATATATATATATATAGACATTACTATGTATATACAGTTGGCTTAGCTCATGAAAATGTCAGTTGTAGTCGCCCTGTCAAAGGGTAAAAAACCTGGACTTCAGAGCAATTAGACACATCACAGGTGACATACTTGGCTCTGGGAAGAAGAAAATTACATTTGTTCAACACATAATCACTTTAGGTCAACTGGTTAATTCACATGCATTTCCTGACAGAAAGGTGTTTTTTGTACCACTTTGCAAAAGTTTGGATTGCAGCATTGGAAGACAAAATAAAACAGAAATAAATATTATACTCTAAACTGAGAACCTTTGCTAAACTTGCATGGCTACTGATAGATTCTTGTGGTTTAGGAATGGTGCTCCCATGTAGTGTTCCAACAGAAACCAGTCCAAACCATGCACCACTCTCTCACTCCTCCCTCACTCTCCCTCTTTCCTGCAGCTGGATGGAGAGGAGAATTGGAGGCAGAAAAGCTGAAGATCATGGGCTGAGACACAAAAAATTTACTGGGAACAACAAGAGGAAAAAACAAACAGTAACAGCAGCAATATTAATAAAAAAGGTATTTCTTATGAATAAAGATAGGAGGCAAGCAATTCACATGCAAATGGTGATGGTGGAGCCTGAGCCCACTGTCATCATGCTCCCCCCTGCCTGGGAGAGACTCCTTCCACCTGCCCCTATAACGTGAAGTGGGGTGGTATAGAAAAGACTCTGGGTTTCAGCAACTTCCCCTCCTGGCTACTGCAGAAATTGTCCTGGCCAGAGCCAGGGCGTAAACACAAGGTACAGGGCATACCTGAAAGACAGAAAATGGCCTAAGAGTTTTGTCACTTTGACAACTTCTTGTTTATTTCTGACAGTCCCACTTGGAAGAGAGCAGTCACAGAAATATTACTGCTTGAAAAATTTCACACAGGTTTGAAGTCTTGAGCTCAAAACCACCCCACAGAGGAACACACACCCTTCAACAGCAATCTAGAGAGAAAAACAAAAAAATCTTCTAGCTTTCTGACCATTTTTGACCCTGTCAAGGAAAAGAAACAAGTTTTCAATTCTGTGACTTAAGAAAGTAACATTTTTGTCATCAGTGAAAGAAACTTCTCAGCTAACAGAAAATCTTGCTCTGCAGGGAGCAGCAAGATCGTAGCCAAAAGATTCCTGGGAAGGAGACTGCTCACTCTTGAGCACTGAAGCAGCAGGGATCAGAGAAAACCCCTTAGACATATTTTCTAACCAACAAAACTCAAACTCCAAACAGCAATTGCTTTCTAAGCTCTATTTTATCCTCATATAACTCCAGTAGTCAGTGTAGTAAGTTCTGTCGTCTCAAATGTACATTCTACAGGTGTTTTGTGGTCAGTACACAAAGAAGCAAGAAAAACTGAAAAGTATGGCTAGGAGAGTCTCCATGCCTCCCCACACACCACTCCATGAAAAGAAGAGGGAATTAAACCTCTGCTCAGTATAGCTCCAGTTAGTTCCCCGGATACATTTGCTGTCGTTCAAACCACACAACTCTGGCCTGACTGTCGGGATCCCCAGCAGTCATTGTTCACCTTGCCTAGGATAATTCCTGAACTCCCTGGTAAGGGGACTTGGCAGTGTAGGTCTCAGATTGAGCAACATCACTTTACAGAGCCCACAGCTTCCTGAGATCTGGCATTAGGATCTGAAATGCCACCGTTGTCTGCCATGGGTTGAAACTGCTATGTTTATATAATATACTGGGAAGAAAGGTAGCTTAGATAAGAAAAGCCTCATGAAGATGCTTATGTGAATCTAAAATGTGCAGAAAAGACAACAGTATACAAAATTTAAAACTTGGATTGCCAGCATACACATTATCAGAAGCTTATATTATACTTGAAAAGAAAGACCTGGAGCAAAGCTCAGGCCTCTGAATAAGCACCATTAAATAATTAAATAGCCAGTCTGGGTTTTGAGGGTTTGATTTTGTTGTTTTGGATTTTTTTTTGTTGTTTTTTGTTTGGGTGGGAATTATGGGAGGGGGGGGTTAATGTTAGGGAATCAGACTTGCTATTTTATTTGCAGACACACAGCTGCAATGGAGAAATCTCTTGGTTAGTAACAGAAGCTTAGAACCCTAAATTTTACGGGGTTTTTAATATAACTAATGATTATTCAGTGGAAACAGATCTGGAAACCTCTTGGATTTATAGTGTACTGGAAAAAAAGCAACAAAACCAAAACTCAAAAGGGTATTTAAGTGACTGCAACTAAAACCCTCATTAGATTTGCTTAACCTCAACAGTGGTCACTACTTTCCCTTATGCAAATGGAAGGAGCACAAACTACAGAGGGAAATTTCATTAAGGGAGGCACTGGGCTGTCCTTGACAGAGAGGCAGGTGGTGGCTGCAGACAGCTCTCTGATCCACAGCTCATCAGGATTTATCTTTGAATTTAAGGACTCACACAACTCAAAAATAGCATGTACAAGATTAGAGGGCTTCAGAGCCATCCTTGTCTGTTTACAGTTCCAACAAAGAGACATTATATATTTATGTATGTCCTAACTGTGCAGGAACCCTCCTCAAACATATACAGCTTTGAATCATTGAAACATCTCAGGAAAATGTTTTAAGATAATTGATTTCTCATTTTTGTTTGCACAAGTCTTTTTTGCCAAGCTTGTTAGCAAGGTACTTTGTGAATATAAAGGGAGACTGCATGGGAGTCATGACTGTTTATGGAAAGGTTAATAATGGAACTGATCATGTCATCACTGACATTTTTCCTGTCTTTATTCATTTAACATATGGGAAGAAAGCCAAGGACAGAAAATGAAATAGAAAAAGAATAGCTGAGCTCCTTCCTTCATTGTACTTAGATGAGCTGAATAATATAGAGTCATTCACTGTGAAACAGGGCAAAAAGTCAACAAATGCTAATGAGTCTCCATAGGTTTTATAACATTCAATTCTCTATAGTCTTTATTGGTGTCTCTTCTGAAGCCTCGTGCTAGCAGTAAAGAGAGAAAACAGCAGTTTGAAGCAGTAATAGAGGTTGGAGCCTGCTGTGTTGAACTTCTCAAATTGCTGGGAATGAGAGAGCTTTAGTAGTTCCTGTACAAAATTTAAATCTATATTTCAAGTGGCATTTCAATTGCCACTGAGCTGCTGCATGGACTGAGTGGACAGAACATGAAGGCTTTGTCTCCTTGATTATTTCCTCAATGGCCTTTGAGACATTCTGTGGAGTATAGCTGAGCATTTTCAACCTGTGGGCAAAACTGAGTACATAAATAAGAGTATAACAGTGAACAAACATTGCCAACAGAACGTGTTTGTGAACATGCTCGGTCACAAGGACAGAATGCTTCTTAGAGGAGAAATAAGTTAAACTGAAATTGGAAGGGAACCTCAGACAATGCTCCCTGGTGCGTGTGGAGAACAACTTCTTTAGAAATCTTGATCATGTACCCGATGACCTCAAGGAGGGGTGTAGTAACCCTGCTGCCCAAAGTCCCCAGTGAGCATCTGGGCCTGACAGTGTGCAGCTGCCTGCACCACGCAGCTGCAGGAGCACCTTTTAGGATGGAATCCTTCACCTCTGCCAAGACAGTCTGGTGTCTCCTAAAATTGCACTCCACCAGTTCTGCACCTGAGCAAAACAATGCTGAAAAATCAGCTGCTTAGAAAATAGGTTCTTAAGACACACACGGTGACCTAAATTTCACAAGATGAGACAAATCATTTAAATCTTCAGCTCTAAACCTGTTTCAACTCTTCAGCAAGAACTCCATTTTCTGAAGAATCTCTATAGTACTTGGTTGTTACACTGGGGGAAAACTACCACGCTGTGTTCACCAGGTTCTCCTAACCATTTGCTAGTCAAAATTCCTATTCAAATTTCCTTTGGGAATCTGGGATTGGTAGACAAGACTAGCAGACCTATTTCACAACAGGAACAATCTAATTTTTTAAAAAGTGACACTAGCAGTCAGCCTACATGCATTAATTTTTCATCTCCCTGTATGCTCTGCCATGAGACAAAAGAAATATCTCTCCTGTGGGCATAAGAGAGCAAAATAGCATTTATCTTCCTAAAACCTACTCTAAGCTCCTTGCACATGCACAACTGTCCTCATGCCAAATTTTTTGTTTCAAACTGTTTTGGTGACTCATCTGGACAGTGGGACAGGATAAATGAAGATATCTGATTTCCCTAAGGATTTTATTCCACATAGAGAGACAAAGTTCAAAAATCACTGAGCATATGCTGAATGATAATACATGCAGAGCATGCAATTCAGCCTCACAGAGGTAGCCAGTCATACATTCCAAAAACTATAAGGCTATGTTTTAAAGGTGATGTGCATAAGCTAATAAGCTCAGCTGCTCCCTTGCTTATTAGAAGTTAATTCAAGCATCTATGCTGTGCTCCTGCTGAGCTGCAACATTTGTCTGATTAATGTTTTTTCAGTATGAGCTAGTAGGGAGTGATTACTTTCCTCTGTTTCCTTAGGCAGCAAGTCTACCTCTGCAACCAAGACATCTGTAAGTGTTTAAGGAACATTTCATCTCAGGGAGAGGATCCAGGCACTCTGTTCATCAGAGTGCTTTAGATCATGGCCTCAAGGTCCCACTTACCAGCTCAGGTTAAAATTCAAGCTGTCCTGATGTTACTTAGATCCAGACTTGTGTTAATGTTACCTTGAGAAAGAAAAAGGAAAAAAAAAGTTGTCATTTATGTTACATAACCACACCTTAGCTCCAACTCTGAAACACCAGGAATGAATACTGATCACAACTTCCTAGCAATGGCTCCTACTTTGAGTAGAGGAAAAGCAATCCTTCCAGTGGCAGCAGCTACCTGAGTACCCTGGAGCTACCTGGGTACTCTGTAGTGATCCAGGGTTTCGGGGCTCCAGCTCCACTGTAGCAGGTTATGGTCCCCAGGTACAAAAGATCACTATTGGTGAGACACTGTCCTTCAGGATTGGAGTCATCCAACACACAGAGATTTCCATAGTTTCCCACTGTTCTTCAGCTTTCCTCCTCAACTTTAATTTCATTGGCTATCGACACAAGCTTTCCAACTCCTCAGTCTGATCTCAGTACAAGGATTCAACAAGAATTCAAACAGACACAGTATGTTTTACCTCGGACCACTGACTCCTGTGATTTATCTACTCTCTTGAAAGGAAACCCAGCACAGTCTCAACAATCCTTTGTGGGGAAAAAAAATCTAAGAGAAGAATGTGATATTGTCCATAAAGCTCAGAGGAGAAAAATAGAACACATAAAAATGTTATGGAAAAAAAGCATTAAAAAAAATAATGTTCCCAAAACATACTGCAGTACATTCTGTTCTTCATATATTAGGACCAGAAAGTTAAAAGCATAACACTAAAACTACATAAACACCTGGTTTATAGAATTTACCTTGCTTTAATTTTAGCAATATATTCCAGTACTAACAATTATTAGGAAAAAAAAGAAAAAAAAAAATAACTGTAGACTGGAAGCATTTCAAAATTAAAGGGAAACTTGGTCTTTATTTGTTGGAGGGTGCTGGCAAGAAAATATAGCATTAATGAACAAAACTGCTTTGCATTAGACAGCACATTTCTGCTACAAACACAAATTAAAGCATTTGTTTCTAGTGTAGAAATCTATCCTATCAATTTTTCCTCAGGCTCTGTTTACTCACTCCTCAGGGTGTCTGGCTGTTGGGAAAGAAAAAGCATTGATTTAAGACTCAGCTCTGCAACACTGTTAATTGTGTGAGTGGATCTTACCCACAAGTCTTCTCTTCTCTTCTCTTCTCTTCTCTTCTCTTCTCTTCTCTTCTCTTCTCTTCTCTTCTCTTCTCTTCTCTTCTCTTCTCTTCTCTTCTCTTCTCTTCTCTTCCTTTCCCCCTGGAAACAATTTTTTTGCATAGATACTGCAACTTTTAACAAAGTATATGAGCTTGGCTTGTGTCTGCTTCTTTCACAGGCTTGGAAAGGGATTTTCCATGCAGATTTGCACATAGAAGCTTAGGGTCAGAAGACAGCTTTTGTATTGCACTCACATAGTGCGCACAGTCCAGCAAAGGTTTCCTCCTGGGACTAACATTGCTGCCCTAGGAAAACTAGTTACATGCCATTTCTGTAGGGTCAAGAATAGGAAATTTTCTAGGACAAAAAGTTCTGCTTGCTCTAAAATAAAATTTTAAGTTATGGTGAAGAGTAAAATACATCCATTCCTGCACTGATCATTCCCTTGAGTCAGCACCTGCAATATGCTTTTCCATGCCTGTGTGGCAGGCACAAAAAGCCAGACCACCGCTCTTCAGCAGCAAGTTCTTCAGTGGCTGAAACACCCTTCCACTGACAAACCCAACTCTGTAAATTCCTTCTCCTTGCTTGGAAAGATGGTGGCATTTACTGTTTGACTCTAATCATATAAACTGACATTTATTTTACTGTTTGTCACTAAACTGCTTGGGATTTGACCTCCCTTATACCCGCAAAAACAGCTTCGTACATAATCAGCAGAGAGAGGTTCCATAAAACAATAACTGTAATTGTGAGCCAGAGAAAAATTCAACTTCATTGTGTATTACCATGTACTGTCAGACAACTTTACTGTTGCCCTTACTTATTATGTACTGGTCCAAAACATGCTCAGTTTGAGATGTAGCACAGCATTGACAAACCAGGTGTAACCTAATTTATTATAACACGTTTGTGGGCTCAGCCACAGAACTAAGAGCACACCAGAAGTCCAAAATCTTTCTCTGCTGCTCCAGCAAGTCTTGCAGGCTGAGCTGGTCCAGGTCTTCCAGCTGTGCCCAAGCCAGTTAGATTAAAAATAGGAAAGTCTCAGTATTGTGCTAAGTCCTGCATGTGTGTATATATACGTGTATGCACACATATGTATTAATAACATGGCTTTGGGGATTTTTTCTTGAATTACCAACCCATGCAGGAAGCGAAATTTTAGTACAATTGGAATTTTTCTGAAGGTATGCTCATCTTTTAATATTTTATCATTAAAGTTAAAAGGTCTCTTTGCAACCAGATTAAACTAAGCCCTTGTATAAGTACAGATTCTTTGTGGCGAAAAAAATTTAGGATTACCCTGCTGTTCCTTTTATAAGTCAATTCACTGTTCAATGTTATGTTAGAGTGGCTTTAGAGGCAAAGTACATTTCTATAGGCCTGGTACACAGTGATAAACTGAGTCCTATTCAAGGAGAAACACAACTTCATCAGCAAGGACTTGAATCGATGCTAGTACAATCAATCCCTTGGCAGGAGAAACAGGGGGTTGTTATGACCATCACACACATATACTTCATACAGATGAGGTTTCCTATCGATGTCTGTTGCAGAGGAAAAGGATTGGTCTAATTAAAGCTGGGAACCTGTGAGAGATATATTCAAGTCTCCTCATCTGGGATAGATTTGCTGCGGGACCTGGCCTATGGCAAAGTCCTGTGCTTAAGATTCCCATTTATAGAAAGTGCAAAAGTAGCTTTTTCATTTCTTTCAGGGATTTTGTGCAGATAAATATGTGGTACTTACAAGCACCATGTTAGAATGTAAAACAGAATCTGAACAACAGCCTCAAGAAGATGAGCATGATACTTATTATTTTAAAGCAAGGGTATTAAACCAGCCAAGCAGAAGTATATCACTAAACTATTCTTCTTCCCAAGGTTGTAAGTAAGCTCATTCCCCTGACTTGCCAGGAACACATGCATTTTCTGTAAGATACTGATCTCTATTTGCAGTTTGTTAAATATTACTGGGAATAGAATTAAGGCATTTATGCCTACAAATGTGGTATTCTCAATGGCTACACACAGAATCAACAACCTGTCCAATTTCCCCACCTTGCACCAAGAAGAAATAAGTTAAGAGGAATGGGATTTTTCTTCCCTAATCTAATAGCACAGACATTTAAATCTTAGCTAGTCACCCCAGGCTCCCTCTAAAGTTCATGTTGTGAATACATTCCTTCTAGCAGGTGATTCATCTCATCCTAAAGCAGACAACTAAAAATAGGTTGGGCTTCTACTCCTGTCAACTGCAGCAGCAGATTAACATGAGAAGCTCACCTAAAAAGGTCTATACACTCCCACCATGTATCAATTTTGTGCCTTTGTATTGTGTAGGCTTTTTCTCATTTCTCTGGTGTGTGCTTAGAAAGTCTTTTAGCATAGTCTAAAACAACAGTTTCACAAAATAAAGCATGTTTAGAAAGAGTGTTAAATGCAAATTGTACCTCTTACATCCTATGAGATGAACACTTGTCCTGAAAATTAATTGCACTAAAATTTTCTGGAGCTTAAGTTTGTCATCTACAGCTAGTTGAAGAGCAAAGGAAGCTAAAACCCTCACTGGTCTTTTTCTTTCTCCTAAAATAGTAGACATTCCTGTTTCCACAAAAATGTGGAGCTTCCTAAAGCCAGGCCATACAAACTATGGGAGAAGAAAAGAGTATCTGTCAACCCAATATGATAATTTTTTTTTTAAAACATAGCTTTTTCTAAGTTGCTTAAAAATATATCAGTGATTTCTCTTCAGAGGACTTATATGTGTATATCTTGAACCTGTTGTAAAATAGGAAAGTTCCTTCACCCTTCTGCAAGGAAAAGCACAGCTTGCCCACTGGATCAATCCCACATAGGATTCAAAGTCTTTCTCAAATATTTCAGAAGCAGAAAAAAGATACCTATGCAAGAATAAAGCTCCATCATTAGTATTTAAGAATGAGGTGATAGTTTAAAAAAAAAAACTAATGCATATATTTTGCCCATGAACAGTAGGATTTAAGATAGCATTTGTGCCTTAAAAAAAGAACAGCGTCCAGAAGCTTCTAGATAAATTTTCCTAATTTGATTTCAGTGATCAATAACGTGTTCAGTAGAGGTGTCTTGGGAAGAGTTACTAAATGAACAGACACATTCACCAGATATACTCTCTTATTAGTGGTTACTTTAAAAAACATTGCTTCTGAAATGAAAGATGAGTAAAATTACATTTAAACTATTGCCTTTAATACACCAAAGAGGACCTTAAAATGAACTGAAGAGGAAAGATATCGTTTGATTTTGTGGCTTTTTCACACAGCACTAATACAAGAAAGAAAACAGAATTGCAGTTACACAGCAGAAGTACAGATCATCTTGTTGTTTTTATGGTATCAAAAGGATGAGAAAAAAAAGTGTTTCTAAACCACTTCAGAATAGAAGTGAGAAAGGGAATGGATCTGATTTTTATTATCCTTGTTAAATGTGCAATTTATCCTTTTACTCTCAAACCTCTTCCATTGCTCAAGAGGTCATTGGGACTTGCGAACTTCCAAGAAAATGCAATGCCACATCCTGAGCTGCATTGAAAAGAACATTGCCATCATTTTTAATAGCCAGATGCAAACAGCTGAATTTTATCTCTAGAATTCAGGCCACATCAGTAGGTGAGGACCTGACACATGACACCCTTGGCAGAGGAGGCACCCGGCATGTGGAGATCGTTCCCCATGCATCCCAGATGTGCTCCAGATGTCCTACTGACTGCAGGTGCCCAGGTGCTGGCAGTCAGGAGCAGCAGAGGTGGCTTCTGTGAGGACAGGCCAAGGCTCTCCAATGCCAGGCACTGCCATCTCCAGGAGACCTACTGCAGGGCACAGCTGAGCCCATCAACAACACTGCTGGCTCCTCTCCGG